CTCTCTCCCCTCATAAAATCACTTCAGCAATGGTCCCAACACTATACCTTCTTCACCTTTGTCTTGGATATTCACGAATCTCTTTAATCTCTCCTTTTTTTTTTTTTTTATAAACACTAGCATTGCATGGAGTGGGCGACAGAAAAGAACTTTCACAAAGGGCAACCAAAGCGATTTAGATTGAACATTTTGACGTTCATCACACCTGTATCACTATTCCTCACTTGCATTTTTTCCTTTCTCATTTACAAGTTTGCTATTATACCAACAATTCTCCCGCATCGCTCTATAGCATTGATCATGAAGGAAACGGCCTACAGGTGGATGAGATAGGATGGGTTCTTGGCTAGCTGGTTGGCTAGCTGGCTAGTCGGTAGCAGAGCAGGCGGACTTAATGATATCAAGACTTTCAAGGAAGCAGATAGGCAATGTAGCAGTCATTTGCAACAATACCAAAGCGTCACAGCATCTTGTTTTGAGAGATAAGCCTTGAACATGAATGAATCTTGGCAAGTTGAGTGCCTGTGTAGGATATGGTGCAATGCGATATTGATTGAGTCTAGAGACGATATTCTTGGTATCGCGGACTCCCAAGTAATAGGTGTTGGAGATGATCATATTGAACTATTATCCTGGCAAGGCTTCTTTCAGCTTTGTTTAGAGGGAACATATTTACAAAAATGATAAGAACATTTTGCACACCTAGCCTTTGCAAATCTATTGCATGGATCACTTCCTGATGATAAAATCTCTATAACATATTCTGTCTCTCCCAGGCGAACGATGTTTCATCAGTATTGGTGCCTCAGTTCCGAAATCGTGAACATTGGATCAACCGGTCTAATTGATGGCCCCATACCCCTTATTGATTAGTACCTCCCTGGACAATCACGACACCATGGGAGTCTCTCTTTTATACTGGTCATAGAGGATAAGGGCGTCGAACTTGGTACCTCTTCAAGTGTTTGACTGGCTTTACCCATAATGAAAGTGTGAGTGGACGCGATGCGGCTGTCAGCATCAGACGCGCACTGACTTCAAACCTTGACATGTATTGATTGCAGTCTCTGTTGTCCAAGTGTTGCAAGTATTGTAAATTTTCATATCGAATAGAATTTGAGATACTGAGGCCGGGCTTGGCATCGATACTTTGAAACGAAGTTGATTTGAGCTCACGATCGAGCCTACGGACACCAGGGGCTATCACTAGTATCCATGGATCTCAGTCATACGAGGAAGTTCTTTTACAAGTCCAAGATGTCCTGTATTTCTCATTAAATCCCCACTTGTAATGCTCTATAATACGCCTCAGGATTCGGCATTCTGCCGAGAAACGCCTTCAGAGTATCCGCTTCGAGTATACTGGACCCTGGCTCCAAGATTGACTGCCTGTACTTTTTCCCAACCTCTGCACTCATAGGATTCGTGGCGAAGGCAGTCTGATAGAGGTCCGTGGCGTAAAGTCTGGAACTGTCGAGAGTTAGCTTGATTTCTCTACACATATGTATTTTGCTGTATACGTTGGCTGTAATGACATACGTGACATAACTGAAATAGCCTGCATCATAGTTTTTGTAAATGTGCTGAAACCCGGCCTGTCCAGCATTCATGTTGCTGCCACCTGACAGGCCAATGACTTCCCGTCTCAGCGTATGCCACAGGAGCGTCGTCTCGTCGTCTGTAGCAGTCCTGCCTTCACTAGGAGCGTGTATGGTCAGATCGAACAACGCGAGACGTATCTGAGCCAACATATCGTGGGCTGCGTTGACGTTCTTGGTGCGTGCCATTGCCTCTGCCAAGTCTTGTGGTAGCCTGGCAGACTCTTCTTGTGTGACCTGCCCGTCGTGTTGCTTGGATGGGACACTCTCCCAAGTCCTTGCGTTTTCGCTATATATGCAGCTATAATGCTTTCCAAGGCGTACAAGGATCTCGGGGACCCATATGAAATTCTCAAGCATGATGCTTGGGATCTCGACGAAATCTCTCGAGTGAGAAAGGGCATACTTTGTGCGGGATACGAGATGATGGATTCCATGGCCTAGTTCATGGAACAAAGTTTTGACCTCATTGTGCTGTAACAATGTTGGCTTTGAAGGATGCTTGACGAAATTGTATATCAGAACTGATATGGGGATAGTTCTGGCTCCGCTTATGTTGGTGAAGGACTTGAAAACTGTCAGCTACTTGTCATGTGTAATTCAGAAAGGGAGCAGATGTACTGGCTGAATTGCACAGTGAGAGGCGCCGTCAAACTTCCCCTCTCTGCTGAAGAGATCGACATATAGATATCCAAGGAATGTTAAACTGTTACTGGTGTCCCAAACTTCATAGACAATCACGTCCTCGTTCCACACATTTGCACGAGTAAGTTTGAACTCAAGACCAAATATCTGCTGGAAGATCCCAAACATGCCTTTGAGGGTATTCTGGACCTCGAAGTATTCGCTGAATCTGTTAGCGTCGACGCTATATTTCTTCTTCTTGAGTTTCTGAGTGTAGAAAGACCAGTCCCAGGAATACAGTGCTTTTGACTGGGGATCTGTCTCAACTTTGAGCTGCAGCATTGTATCGATCTCCCTCTTTGCAACGACCTGCAGCATATGTCTTGCGTGTTGAAGCACCTCTCGGACTGTAGACACACTTTCGTGCATCTTCTCCTCCATTTTCAGCGCAGCATGGTGCTCGAAGCCAAGACATTGGGCAATCTCGTGCCTCAACCGCAGTATCTCCGTCAATCGCCCTACATTTTCAGGGAAGCGGCTCTCCTTGGCCTCGAATAGTGTCTTTCGCGTCTCCTCCTTGATGGCGTTGCGCATAACAGGGATGATGATGCCTTTGCGCAAAGTGACGAGAAACTCTTCACTTTCATCGTTTCCCCTAGCACGTCGCTCCATCTGCTGTAGGACTCTCTCTGGCACACCCTCCAGCTCATTACGCGTGAGCCATATGCCGCCAGGGCCCCCCGTCAATGTCCTCTTTGCCTCAGTCGTCAGCTCAGTCAGTCGATCCGTCGCTACCTTCACCTTGTCTCTAATGACGGGATCCCGGATGCCAGCGCCGCTTCGTTGATATTCACCATGTATTACGGTGAGAAGGTACCGGTCTTCATCGTCGAGACCGTCGCCAGGCAAGACAGAGGATGCGCGGGCTGAGTGCCTTTGGAATACCGCGGCAACGAGCTCGGCGACGTCAGTCCGCATCAGAGCTGTGGTTCTCGCAACGGCTAGCTGGGCTTCGGCTTCACGGGCAGCTTCACGAATCCCCGGGTTCGTGGAGACACGGCCGAGCAACGTCAAGGGCCAAAGACGACATGCCGCAAGATTGATCTCTTGTTGGAGTGGGACGATGAGGTTGTGAAATGTGGCGGTTGCAGGTGTCAGGGTGCTGACGAGAGAATCATGCAGTCTTTTCCTGCTCTCTATGACTCTACTTGTCTCTTGGAGAAGAGAAGATGCGGTCGTGTCGAAGGTTGGGATAGGTGGTGGTGGTCCGGCCATTGTCTTTATGTATGGTCGAGCGAGCATCTGTTCCTTGCGTTCAAGGCTTGTTGCCGCTTTCCCATGCGTGTATACCTTGTATTTTCGGGGGGGTCAGGGGTGTTAATTTTGGCAGTGTCTCGTCCAGGCCGTAAGAGGCAAACGTCCTTGAGATGCAATTGAACGTCTCTATATCTGCGTAGCGATTTTCCTATCGAGTACGAGCATTCATCGTGTCCATTGGTATTTGCGCAAGTCTTCTGCTAAAGCGCCAGTTTATGGTATGGTCTCGAGTCGCTGGAGTACCTGATCTCGCATATGCATCTAAGGATCACATTTATTTCCTCCCCGCCCCCCCATTTTGGCTATCAGCATATTACAGCTGGGAATTGAAACACATCATACAGAAGAGGGATATCTAACACCCCAGGCCTTTCTTCGCTAGACACTTGATCTCAATGTTAAGAATGAGGTACTCTTGGATCATCAACTACGGTAGTTGTGTAACCCAGCAAGTGCTGCAGAACGGCTGCGGAGTTCCGGACTACAAATATGACAAAGCCCGCCCCCCCCAAAAAAAAAGTTCAAAAAAATTCTGGCCACAACACAAGAAACAATCAAATAAACAGAAAATAAAACGCAACTCTACTCGAATTCGAATAAGTACCTCCAAACACAACAGACATCTAATCTGTCGAAGCTAGCACAGGGTCGAGCCCACTCGAAATGTCACCAGCATCCACCTAAATGGATCTCCGCCCCAACCCACAATGTTGCAAGCTTCACAAGCGAATCGAACCGAATCGAATCAAAAAAGCGACGCCGGCCTGATTCGAACAGACGCCTCCGAAGAGAATAGATTTCTAGTCTATCGCATTAGACCACTCTGCCACGGCGCCATGTTTCACATATGATTGATGTGAGTTGGGAATAATTGGTTGGATATATTCCGGAATGTGGATGAATGCGGAGTCACTTCGCCACCCGCCATCCACCAAACCTCCCACACAACTTGTAAAAAAGAAAACATTTGTCATGTGTTCAAACTTGCCCAGACTTGTGTAGTTAGTACACGGAATATTGACCTGGCCTCGAATCTCTTTCAGTCCTGCAGTATACAGCATGACAACTACTCGCGTCTCCCCATTCAATGTATCTCCCTCCAACCATCTTCTACGATGCATTTCACTCGACGATAGATACTGCTCTAGCCAATTTCGCATGGATCCAAGGGATATATATATAGCTTTGTCTTAGAGAATGTTGGAACACGTCTTTAGCAAGATTGCTGGGAAGTAAAACAAGTATGGACACTATACTCTACAAGCCTCTACAGTTCATTCATTCCCTTACCGTGAGCCCTTGCAATCATCACCTAAAACTATATAACTCTCTGTACTCTACCACTTTCTCCTGCAAGCAAAAGAAAACTATCCCAACAGCTGCGAACAGCAAGTACAGACTTACTTGATGAACAATAAAAGAAAGAAAAATGAAAGAGGGAGAAAAATAAAAAAAAACAATTGGAGACGCCAAGAATTGAACTCGGGACCGCTCACATTTGATAGCAGAGTTGCTAAGCGAGAATCATACCACTAGACCACATCCCCATGTTTGTTGAAATTTCCTCGAAAAACTCAAATGATATTGCTGAATTACAGGGCCTGCAGACTCTACTCTATCTCGCAGGACCGGAATCGCTCGCAAGCCCCACTGCCATGCGACACGCGACATCAGATGTCTCTCTGTCTCTACAACAAAGCCTTTTCGAACTTACTTACACTTTCTTAAGTAATATCATATCCTATGATACTCTTTCTCGGGGTTGTATTCTTCACTACTGCCAAGTTGTAGACTTGTCCCGCTCTCCTCATACCAAGTATGAGGAGATACTTTTTTGGTCGACTGGGTGTGCATATGCAACTGCGGGCCGCCCCATTAGCGTCTCGTCACTAGCGTCCCAGCAGCTCGGGCATGCTACCCTACGAACATCACAATATCCAGGGATTTTTTGTTAGTCGATCGAATTGCGCGAAGCAGAAAAGCCTTGGTCAAATCGCGCGATAATCTAGGGCCGCTTGTAGTCAAGTTTGTAAATACTTTTCGCAGGAATCGCCATCATAGAAACCTCGAGCAGGATATGCATTTGTCGCGTAGAAGGCGAACAAAATGTTGACATCGGGTCCTGTCAGTTCACGAGGTATAGACAGATTGACAAGACAGACAGGACAGAAAGGAAGACATCCCACGCGAGCTTGGGCGCGATTTTTACAGTAACCATGCCGGTAATATGTATTCTATCTTTGAATCAACTCCAACGTAACTTCTATCCTCATAGTGATATCAGAAAGTAGCCCTCCACATCATCCGTGGGAAACTTCCTAAATGGTATGGGTAGGGTGCGAAGGCATTGCATTCCTCTCCCTCCATTTGCAACGTTCATCATGGGGTCAGAAAGTGTCACGCTCAATAAGAGTAGAACACAATTACTGTTATTGTGACCATGGAGTCGAATCACACGATCCTTCTTGCTTGCATCGTGCTCTCGTGTCCAGTGAACCTAGTATGCTCTTGCAGGACTTCACTTCCACAAGTGCATACAACACTTTAGAATCATAGTTCAGCTCACTTGACGCTTCACCATGCATCGGGAAAATCCACCCAGCGTTAGCATGAGATTGTACATTATTTTACTTGGGCTCTCAGACAAAATTGGCGTTGGAAGCCTCATAATTGAAATGTGACAGCTACATATAGGCAATCCTCGGCCAAGATCAACCAGGACACTACTGTACGATGAAAAGACCTATATTAGCTACTCAAGCGTTCATACAATATATCACGTTGCGTCCCATTCTCGTCCATGTTTGCATGGTAAGTAGACACTGCTCCTTTATAGCTAGCAAAAGTGCCTTCAACCCGTAATGCCTGACTGATCAAGTGGTCCAAACGTAGTAATGCAACACAAGGTCGTTCGGCACAAAAATGGAGAAAACGTCGTACAAGTGTGCATCCAAACATGACATTGCCGCCCATTATTAAGGCTAGTAAGAGTTCAGTGAATAGAACTACAACATCATGCGCACACCGTACGAGGTGGACCAACCATCCGTCGACGCTGATGAAAACCCCTGAAGTCCCACCCTCCATCCCCAGAGACGCTGATTGATGTCCGCTCATGGAACAATGATGAACTCCGAGAAGAAAACTGATACCGAAAAGAAGGTTGAAGCCCATATTTTTGTTTTAGGAATCCCATGCCAAAATATAAATAATTCCACATGACGCCTGCCCTCATGTCTTTTTTGTGTTACGTTCGAACATTACTGGTAGACGCTCTCGTCATGCTCTCTTCCAATATCCAGACGGTCGTGAACGGCCTAACCGGGTTGACCAATATATACTTCGGAATATGTAGATGTGACAGTAGTGAATGGTAAATAACGAACAAATCAGATGAAAAGTCCTGATTGTGTCGAGAGAAATGTATGTTTTCCTTGGCCCATTTCCACAACAAAAGGGCCCGGCCATGCGTGAGCGCGTGCGATCCGGTCCGTTGTGGCGGTCGAGTGGTCATGTTGGTGCAGACAATCCCCCATATAGAAGTTGGGTCTAATTTAGCAGTCGCTCCTGTCCTTCGGTGACTTGATTCAGACTGGCCTTGCTGAACTGCTCCACGAGGTATCGGTCTCCGTTCTCAAGAGTGGCATCACTAGTGTCCTGAGAGGAACTGGTCCGTGGGCTGTTACCACCGGTGGTGAGGTCAGGTGTAGGCATCGCAGAGCCGGACTGAGAGTGAGGACGGGATACCGACACACCATTCACTCCGCCTGCACTGCTGATGCTGCCCTGCCTGGATGAAGGCGCGGAGAACTGGTTGATCAGTTTCTGGAAATCCAGCCACTTCGCATCTGGGCGACTGGGCTTCTTCCGTGACTCAAAGTAAGGTCTGCTCTCCTGTACTAGGGCAGCTTGCTCCGCGCCGGTCAGGCAGTGGCATAGTTTTTCTAAGCGTAGTTAGCCACGACTCTTTGTACAGCACGACAGTAAGCGAATCGTAGGTTTACTTACGGACGACATAATTTGCAAAGTTGTCTTTCCACATCACTTGCAGCAAACTGCTGCCGTCTTCCTCTTTACGAGTGATGAGACGATACATCTCGAGTCGGTCCTCTTCCGTACCGTATTCAATACAGTGCTCCATCACGTTGCTGGCAACCTTTTGCTTGGAGAACATCAAGAACTGGTCGATGCAAAGTCGAATGACTTTGGACCGCGCTTCGAGCCCTCCCTGCCGAATGACTGCCTGCACGACATAGTTGCCCCAGTTGTCCGTGACCAGTCTAGAGGCATGCTCGTGGAATTCCTTCAGCAGGAAAGCTTTGTCGTCTTTGGTTCCCTTTTCGATCATCCGCTGGATCACACGGCAAGCATACTGTTGTTGTGATAGCTCGAACACCTTACCGCGGACGGCATCGTAGATGAAGTCGATTCGGTCGCGCGGCAGCTTGGTGAGGATTTTCTGGACGACGTGGTTTCCGTTATCGCTACTCATAACGCGAAGTATCTCGGGCTCAAGCTTTTTGGCCAGCTCGACTTGTTGCTCTACCAAGGTGAACTCGAGAGCCTAAAGGATGACATGTGAGCATATTGCAGTGTTGATGATCGTTACATGTTCACGGGTGCTCACCTCTTGCACGCATCTACAGCCGTATAGCTGCGTCGAGAGATGCACGACATTGTCCATCATCTTTCCGGCGAGGAGCTTCTTCTGAACCATGGTGCCGTGCTCAAAAAGCTGCTGTATCACATAGTTTCCAAAAACGTCTACCATCAGAGCGTTCGCATCAACCATAATCTCCTCAAACACGCGTTGCCTGTCATCACTGTTTGCAGTGGGGATTTTCTCTTGGAGAAACCTCGAGCCTTGTTGGTCACCAGCGAATTCCACGACTCGTCCGAATACGTTCTGCACAAGTATTAGTAACCCATGCGCCTGCACACGGTGGGGATTGACATACCTTAAGCTCCCACTTCCTGTTCGACTTCGAGCTCCGTCGAAATTCCTCCAGCTCCTGGCATCGAATACCAACGGACGGATCCTGGAAACGGCCCCCCCTAGGAACCATTCCAGCTGGACCGCTGGGCGGGAAAAACTGTTGTCCAGGCGGGAAGCCATAATTGTGGAAGGGCACCGGGAAGCCACCTTGTATTTGTTGCATCAGCTGGGCTTGCATGCCCATGTCGGCAGCATACATACTGTAGGCGGCATTAGGATAAGGTGACTGGGTGCTCTGCCTGGACATCTGACCCTGAGACCTATGGGTGCTGCCTAGAGGATCAAAATCAGGAGTCGAGGCAGGGTTCCATGGGTCGGCCTGTCGTTGAATGAGATTGCGGGGGCTGTTCATGGTAGAGTGATGGACGCTGTTTGCTAGCGATTCCCTTCTGGACTCTGGCAGATTCGCAGTGGCCAGGCTGAACCCAGCATTGGGCGTAAGGTCTCGCCAGCCATTCAACTGCGATGGCGCAGGAGTGCTTGCTTGCGTACCATTGGTTCGAGGACCTGGGGAGTTTGCCTGCATGCTCTCCCGAAATAAATGGCCTCGCACAGCGTCCATGGCTGCTTGTGAGTGATCGCTGTTCGGGTTGAAGCTCTGACTCTGGGACCGTGAAGCAGGCTGTTGTGTTGCAAAGGACGATATACCACCGAGCGACATGCGGGAACCATGCCGGGAATGGGAGCCAAATCCGCCTGAGAAAGCACTGGTTTCATTTCCGGACTGCGAAGGAGCTTCATTCTCGGGGTGTCTCGAAAGCGGTTGAAGGAACTCGCGGGGGCCAACATCGTCGAAGGCGGCCGAAAGCCCCTGAGTGCCGCGTGAGAAGCCCGCCAAGCCTTGCTGGAAAGGTCTGTTGTCCCCTTGTGTGTTGTCTGAGAAATTCGCGAAGTTTGTCTGAGCGTTCGAGGGCTGGGAAAATGGTGTCATGTAGGTCCCGAGAAGATTGTTGTTGGATGCATTTGCAGCACGATGAGAGTTAAAGGATGGGGACGTGTTCGTTGTATTCTGGAGAGGATTGGGTGGAGAGGTGCTTCGTGATGCGGTCGACCTAAATTGTTGGCTGTCTGTTGAGTTCCAGGTACTAGGTGCCGGGCGCGCCCAGATGTTGCTCTCGGATGCGCCGAGAGCGCTCGACCTCTGTGTAGTAGCTGAAGCCTTGATCAGTCCCAAATTTCTCTCACTCTTGCCCGGATTGTACGAACTTGTTCCAGTTGTATTGTCCCTCGAGATATTGTCGGGCCGCGGATTGTTGGACCATATGCTTCCGGCGCCGCCCTGTATACTGCTGGACATGAATAGGCTGCTGTTGTTCCGGCTCGAGGTCGAAGAGAGATTCTGTTGGCCTCGGACTTGGGAAGACTGTCCCTGATTCTGTGCCTCATCATCAGTTTGCGTTCGATTAGAATGAGCCACCGAACAACGAGGCTTCAACAGGAAGGCAAGGCTTGCTGCTTGGCCGCCACTGGTAGCCAGGCGAACACACTCATCCATAACAGCAGAGATCAGATATCCCAGGTAAGATTTGGATTGGGCTAGTTGGTGGAGAG